TATCATATTCAAGCAAGGTTGAACAAAAAGATACAGAAGAAATACAAAATGAAAAAGAGATACAAAAAGAAAAAAGAAACCAAGATAACAAAAAAACATTTTGACTCTAAAATTAAGGATGTCCATGAAAAGAACATATTAGTCTGATCTAGCCACCAAAAAAGAACCAGGTGTGCAGGGTTTTTTAAAAAAATAATTCTATAAATAACTGTGATATTATCTTTAATCAACTCAATTATAAGCATTGTGATTTATTATAGGTCTGTAAGATCATCCTGAGTGATTTCTGACACCAGGAATCACAAATAAAAGAATTTTTAAAATGCCTTGTCAAGCTCCTACATGATTTTTTTACAACACCTTGTATAGAAGAAACAGGTCAGGTTTGTCACTTGTTCCAACAGGGAGGTGCTCAAAAGTTTAGAAAGTGTAACAGGATAATCTCTCTATAAAGTTGAATATTCACCAGGAATACAATTCAGAGAATGAGTCACATAACAAAACATTGTTCTGATATGAGCTTCATTCTTAGAAAAATTTGGTGCGAAATCTATTTTATATAGAGTAAGGATACTATTTTAAAGTCCAAACTACAACAGAATAATCATGAGGAATAATGATTACACACATTATATATCTACGTATATTTATATCTCATCTCTCCTCACAATTATGTATAATTATATCAATATATCATTCTTCCTCCTCATGATTATTCTAATTGTTTTCACTTAGACTTTATATATATTCAATTATTTTAGGCTTTACAATAGTCTCTCTCTATGTATACACACACGGTATAACTGCAGTTATAGACTATAAACAGTATATACGAAGTCTCAAAATCTTAAAAAATACTTTAATTCCTCACACACTTATTAAATCATATACAAACTAATAAATTAATTTAATATTAAAAACTATCTTATTTCCTATTTGAAATTTTAACTAATAAACTTCAAAGGTTTCCCTTTCCTGTTAATGTTCACTTGAATATTCAAATGACTATTATTCATATAAATATTTATTAATTTTTCACCATGCCCAATCAAACAGTAATTATTTTAATATACCAACTAGAATGTATTTGACCTAAGTCTTCAAGGTTTCTGCCTTTTAATCAAATTACAATTATACTCTAACATCATGAGTTAATTTTTTTTGTTTTTCTAAACATTTGAATAGACTTTCTCCTCTGGTTCAGCCATTAGCAGAGCATTTTCTTTTCCAAGATTATTAAATTCATTTCTAACACTCTTTGAGTGTTTTTTTTTCTTTTTAATTAAAAATGCAGGAAAACTAAAAAAACAGCACAAAGATACTCTGCATGTAATATGCCACCATAATTATATTCCCTTCACACATCACCTAAGTATCTATACTTCCAAAACATAGATTTACTGTTTATATATAACATTTTAAATTTCCACACTGCATTCACAGTATTAACAGCCTCATAAAATAGAACAATTTCCCTAAAAGTTGAATATTCAATTATTTTTGCTCTCATACATAATGCTATAATGAACATGTTTCTACTGAAATATAACCTTAAATCTCTAAGAATTGCAACATTAAAAGAAGACTATACAGTCTCTTGCTATGAAGTACCAAATAATGTTTTTCAAAAAGGTCATAATTTACAGAGCTACCTGAAACCAACAATTTTTACCTACTGGTAAAAATCACTGCTATTTTTAATGGCACTGGATATTATAAAAATTAATAAACAAAAGCCACATTTAAAATGAAGTTGGGAGGCTAGACTAGAGAACCCCTATTGTATGTGACTTTTAATGCATATTACAGACCTTAACAGGAAGAAACATACCTTGCATCTCTAACAGGAACTGATTTTTTATCCCAGGAAGTGATACTTGACAGACTACCTCAGCACGAGGAAGAAAAGATTCCTCCTTTCCCAGTAACAGTTCAGTCAATGGGAGACTACCATAACGCAGCCAATGAAAAGTCACTATACTTCAAACTTTCAGTTCCCTCCAATAGACACTAGGCTTACAAAAGACCCGCTCACTACAGAAAAAAGCACTCCTCTCCTTTGTTTCTCTGGATTTGGGCGTGGTTCTCAATTAGACAAATGCCCCAAATTGCAATTCTTTGTTGTTCCTGAATGAGCCAATTTTGCTAGAGAAATGTCTGGTTGTCTATTTGATTAATAGTAGAAGAGCAGTTTTGTTACATTAATAATGTTTATCAATGTAAAATGGTATCTCAAAATTGCTTAAAGATACATTTCCATGATTACAAAGGAACGCAAACAATTTTCTGTATTTTATTTACTATCTCCTTGTGAAATTATGTTTATATCTTTTCTCCATTCTTCTATTCAGGGGGTATATTTTCTCATAAATCTGAATGATATATTCATATACTATATAAGGTGCAATTCATCATATCCCCCCCAAAATGTATTTCACAAGCCTGTGGTACCTTTCCTTTACATTTGTTATTTTCATTACAGAAATTATCAATATATATTTGAGACCACATCTTCCTTTAAAAAAAAAAAATGGGGTAGGCCGAGTGGCTCAGTTGGTTAAGAGCTCGCGCAAGAGTTTGAGCTCTGGGGCCGGCCGAGTGGCGCGATGGTTAAGAACTCGCTTGGGATGCCAGAGGGCCCCGGTTCGGATCCCACATAT